GAAGATCTTGATCTTCCCCATGCTTGTGCTTTACCCACAGCGCTCGGTAGCACTGGTAGAAGCAGCACATCTGCGTGGCTTTCTGGAACGACAACCCACCCCTCTTCGCAGGGAGTGGTGCGGGCTTCCTGCAAGGGGTGCTTCTTCAGAGTGTGGTCGCGTAGCGCTTGCGTTGTCTTAAAGCGAAAGCCGTTCGGCTCGCAGCCCGGGACTCTGCAGTAGAGCCCGGTAGCTTTGTCCATCTTTACTTCTGGTAGGACATTCTTGTGTACAGTCTTTTGAGGGGATTCAAATGGCACTACAGGAACAAGGCTCAAAAACACAGGCAGCAGAATGACGCCCGCTCAGGATTACTACTGTTATTACTATTATTACTACGATTATTACTATTGTTACTACTATTATTACGATTATTACTACTACTATTACTATTACTACTACTATTATTAGTATTACTACTACTACTATTGCTATTATTACTACTATTATTACTATTAACCCATAAACCCCTAATTAAAACTTTAATCCCATCCTCCCCTTTATAAAAACAAAACGCATTATTTTTTGCATAATTGATTTTCCTGCTTTTGCTGGCATGATTTGTGATCATTTTTATGTATTTTCTTGAATTGTTTGCTTGAGTTTTTGGATTTTGCATGAATTTTGCTTGAATTTTGCTTGGATTTTGCTTGGATTTTGCTTGAATTTTGTCGTGGACCCACGCCGCGGCTCGAAAGTAAAAGGCAAGAAAGCAACATCAGGCTGACAGCCCAACAAACACAAGTGACAACAAGCGTTGCCTTTAGAACAACTTAGGGAGGGGAACATGTTGTAGTTCAGCTGTTTTGTGTCGGGGGCTCTGAGTGAATGCAAAGGAGCGCGCAGGATTAGTTTCGAGTCCCTAACCCCTTTCGGTTTACCCTAGGCTGCCTTTGCGTCTGCCCTGCGCAGGAGTGACAGCGTGTGCTGGGTAGGAGTAGGGTAGGTGTCCCTAGCCTCGACTTCTCGGAAACCCCCCGGGCCCCCCAACCTTTGGGATCAGGTGCTGGCTACGTTCGCGGTCGTTTGAAGGGAACCTTGGAGGGATTGCGTGCAGGTAGGAGTAGGTCGTAGCAGTGACGGAGTGCGTGGGTAGGAGTTGGTTGCGCGAACGTGTGCAAGTAGGAGTAGGCTGCGTGAGAGTGATTGCATCTGCTGGTATCTTGGTAGGAAGCTGGCCTCCCCAAGCCTAAGCCCTCGTTCCCAGGAACCCTGAGCCCCAGCCTCTGTGATCAGGTTCCTTCTGGTGGCGACAACTGCGATTCGCTTGGTGCTTCAGAGCGAGTGCAAGGGTTTTGGAAGGTAAAAGTGAGTGCGCGCAGGTCTGTTTGCAGCTGCAGAGTAGGTTTTAGGGTAGGAGAGTTTGACGGCAAGTGTGTGCGCACTGGTCTGTTTGCATCTGCAGGTAGGATAGTAAGCTAAATTCCCCAAGCCGAAGCCCCCTTTTCCCGAAACCCCGGCCCCCTTGCTGTGCTCAGGTTGATGCTTTCGCCGCGGCCTCTGGGTGTAGGTTTCAGGGATCTTCAGGGTTTGTTGCAGGCGGGTGGGGCTCCGAGGCAGTCAGGTGTGTTTTGCCGCGCAGGACGTTTTGCGAGTTGTCTGCTTGTTAGGATTGGTAAGTAGTTCCCCAAGCCGAAGCGTTTCCTTCCCGGAACCCCCGGGCCCCAGCCTTTGTGATCAGGTCGACAACGCTACCGAGCCTCTCGATTTTTATTGCGTGGGGGCCTTTGAGTGAAAGCCTTGGCGCCAAGCTTAAGTTGTAAACCTTGAATCCAGATGCATAAACTCCCAAAATGACCCACAATTGACCTACAATTGCCCCACAATTGACCAACACAATTGCCCCACAATTGCCCCACAATTGACCCACAATTGCCCCACAATTGCCCCACAATTGCCCCACAGTTGCCCCAGAATTGCCCCACAATTGCCCCAGAATTGCCACACAATTGACCCACAATTGCCCCACAATTGCCCCACAATTGCCCCACGAATGGAGCTTTTGCGCAAGTTCTCAGCAGTGGCTAATATAGATTTTGGGAGGCGTCGCCATGTCTGAACAGCAGACGGTCGAAGCAACCTGTAGCCGTGGCTGAGTTTGCTGAAGCTCCCTCTGACTTGGCTGAGCTTGCTGAAGCTCCCTCTGACTTGGCTACGTCACAAACCATCGGGACGGAAACGAAGCCCATTCTCCCAGGTCATCATCTTCATCAGTTTCAGGGCGGAGTGAAGCCTAGTTCGAGTGCGAGTCCAGGTTTTCTGAGTTTGATGTCTGAGCTTCTCTTGTTCTCTCAGTTCGATCCTTGAATCGGGCAAAGTAGGGAGTACCGACGAACTTCATCAGGTGTCGTTTGCCAAGCGTGTTCTGTGTTTTGCCCCTGCAGAACTGTAGCCGCATGCTCAGGTGTCGAAGCGCTTCTTCTTTCGTGGCGCTGCACTGCTGGGAGGCAAAGATGAGCCACGCATTTCGAACCTGCGCGGGTTGACATGCTCGGTGAATATCTAGGACGTGGACCTTTTCCAGCTTGTCGTTAGCGAAAGCTTCCCAGCATTGGTGCAAAGTAGGAGCTGACATGGTGTCATCCTGTGAAAGTTGTTTCGGATTGCTGTCATGCCTCGGCAAGCGAGTGGCTTTTCTATTAGCGTGAGTACGGTCTAGCATTCTAACATGCAACAGCATTTTCTGCATGTCATTCTTGTTCTCGACCAGGTCTCGGCCGATACTCGTCGTCTCCTTTCAAGCCATGGTGCCGGCCTGAGCAGGTTTCGCACCGCCGTGCTTGGATTAGCTTGCAGGCGGCCGTGTTTGCTTGTCAGTGTCTGCTTTTGAAGGTGCTTTGTTCAAGCGAATGTTTGTCGTGTAGTCGTGTGTACGGGTAATGAATGGTAATGACTGAGGAGAGCAATGGTAGTTTCGCCAAGCGCAACTGGGCAAGTTGGGAAACCTTCAAAAGCCCTTTCGATTCGGCAGTAAATGCTGCCATGCTGGTAGTTGGAGTGGCTTCTCTTTTGGTGACTGGTGGTGGAGCCGTGTACAAGTGGGCGGCGTATCCGTTGGCAAGGCCAATAGGGCGCCTGAGCCCGCTTCTCCGTAAGGTCATCAATCTGCCCAATGCACCGGTCTTGCCGGTGGACAGTCGGCCGTATGCAGCGCTGAAAGAAGACAAGGCCCTGATCCTGCAAGGTCGCAACGAGGATGGCAAGACCACGCTGCTGCGGACGTCGTTGCCGTGGTGGCATCGTTTTGGACCCTTGGCCCACTACGGGCTGTACCTCAACGGCGAGCACAGCCGAGGCGTCAGCAGCTTCGCAGAATGGCAGACCACGCAGCTGTTTGGTAGGACCACGACTTCCGGCTCGGAAATGGCCATGTCCTTCTACCAGTACCGCGAGCGCCAGTGGCTCAGATCGTTTTTGCAGCTCCTGCAGCTTCCGGTGGCGCCAAAGCCAGCCATAGTCATTGTGGACCAGTTCGAGGAGCTTCTCAAACAGTACCCACAGCAGGCGCTGGATTGGGCCAACGTCCTGACCAACCAGCACGTCCGCTTCGGGCTTGCCCGCGTCATCTTCGTCGTCAACTCGGACAAGGGCACCCGCACCTTGCTGAACTTGAATCAAGGAGATCGGTTTGACGTTCTGGTGATGCAGCCCGCCCCAGGCCAGCACGTGAGGGGCCTTGATGAAGAGCTCTACCGGAAGTGCAGCTGCAACATCGGCTCTACAAGAACGTGGTGACCAAGCTGGACTCGGGGGAGATTGACAATGTGGAGGAGTATGTCAGCAAGAAGCTGAAGAGGTGGGAAGACGACTACCCCTTCAAGTACGACAGGTCGTGGAGTGAGCTGGCTGACAAGTCCCTGCCTCTCATGAAGCAGAGGCTGGGGCAGGCCTTGGAGCAAGCGCTCCAGGCGCAGAAAGGCCAGGACGGCCAGCCCACCTTCACGCCGGAGGAAGTGGAGGAGCAGATGGAGTTCGCCACGCGATGCTGGAAGACGCTCAGCAAGATGCAGGTGCTCAACGCCATGGAGGCGGAGTGGGCCAAGCGACTGGAAGGCGCTGGGGCTGAGCCAGCAGTTGCGGAGTCGCTGGCGGAGCACATTCGCTGCCTCATAGGCAACCCAGTGCCGAACGAGCAGGGCGAGGGCCAGAGTGAGCCTCGTTCGGAGTAGATGCGTACAGTGTTTTTGGATGTTTGCATTGGCACCTCACAGTACAGGACTTATGCATGTGAGGATCGGTGGCAGACAAAAGCTGGGTGCGATTGCTTGTTCAGAGCTGACCATGCGTTTGGTTTGCGTCTACGTTTGGAGTGTCACAGCCGTGTGAGATAGACCCGAGGTCTGGCGTCTGCGCGCAGAGTCGATTGATTTGCCCAGGGACATTGTGGTCTCAAGCGTGCGGAGCTCTTGAGGGATAGCGAGAGGCAGAGGATTTGCCGTGAGAATTACCTTTGTGTTAGCCGGTGAGATTGCAAGCGAAGCCTCAGCAAGCCTTCATGAGTTTGAGCGTTCGTTGCAGCATGAACCTGCCTCACAGCGCCTGCGACGAAGAAATTCCTACAAGGAAGTTCGTGCTCAATGTTTGCAATCAGGCCGGCATCTTTAGGAAAAGAACTTCATCAGGGTTTTATTGTCCTCGTTAGATTTTCAAAGCAGTGCAAGATCATGGCTGACCCTGATGCCGCTGCTCTCACCGTGCGAAGCCTGCCAGTTCGACGAGATGATGATGGCAGCTTCTTCATCAGGCAGTTCGTGCTTGAGAGGACGGACAACAGCGTGCAGCTGGAGGAGCTGCGGGATCCCAGAGCTAGAGCTCATCTACAAGACCTCCTAGCCTTGCAGCTGTACTTCACTATCAAGATGAAGTTCCAGCTGGAGCGAATCATCCCAGGCCCTGATCCGTTCGGTGATGGAAATGTGGCACCCCTGCACGAGAGCTACCTCTTGAAGCCCTCTGCTTGGGTTGTAGAGCCTGATGCTGACCCAGCACGTCGCCTCGATACCATCATCGAGGTTGCGAGGGACAAGCTCGCAGAGCACCTTGAGAGAGCACGTTTGAACGGCTCGAGGGATAACATTGGTGGGCTCCTTCGCATCTACGTGCTGACCTCGCCAGGCAGGGTGATGGCAAATCTACCTCCTGCCCCTGCTGTTGGTGACGAAGCTGTGGGCAAGCACCAGGTGCTGCCACCATTGTTAGCTCGCAAGAAGTGCTTCTGGAATCCTCAGACTACCGATAGCAGTTGCTTTGCTTGGTGCATCAGGGGATCGCTGTTGGAGGTGGAGAAAATGCATTGCGACGCGCGGAGGAACCTAGCTCGCCTGACTGACAAGAGGCTCTTCGTGGAGGGCTGTGCTCCGGTGCGTGGGAAAGGTAAAAGCCAACAACCTGTAGTTCCCCGCAACTTCGGCTACAACTTCTCCACTTTGCCAGATCCTAGTGCAGGGGTGACGTGGCAGGACATCCAAGACTTTGAGCGGGCCAACGGCTTCAGGCTCCGCATCTTCGTGTGGGAGTGGCTTCCCGTTGAGTGGGAGGGCAAGACCTACTACGAGAGGCACATGGTCAGGGAGCCGCTGGAGCAGGACTTTCCGCCCGAGAAGGAGATCAACTTGTTGAAGTACTCCGGCCACTACTGCTTGATTTGGAACTTCAAAGCTTTCTTCAGCGAAAGAGGGGTGGAAATGGATGGAAGCAGACAAACTAGCCACCACACCAAGCACGTCTGCCATCGTTGCCACCAGAACTTCTCGTCGGCGTCCGTCTTGGCTAAGCACCAAACGTCTCCTTGTAGCCGTGAGCCCTCCAAGCGGGTCTGCAAGATCAGGATGCCCCGTTCGTTCAGGGAGGCTGAGGATGAGAACAAGCCGCGAGAAGACCTCATCAGGTACAAGTGTGGCCCCTGGGAGGAGTTCGCCCCTTTGACTGCTTACATGGATTTGGAGGTTGAGAGCGAGCCTGCCCCTTCAGAACGAGTTGCCGAACATACCCTCTCGCTCCAGAAGAACGTGCTCTCCGGCTGTTTCCTGGCCGTGGGCAGGAACGGCTACGAGCCCTACACGCGCTCCTACCTCACCGTCCGGGAAGCTGGCGAGGGCAAGTTTGCTGCCGTCGAGAGGCTGATGACGGAACTGAGGAGGGAATCTGAGCGCTACCTTCTTTGGAAATCCCGCGTCAACATCCCCGCGAGGCTGAGCGCTGAGGAGCAGAGGGAGTTCGATCAAGCCACCCGCTGCGTCACTTGCAATTGCCGCTTCAAGCCGGACCACCCTCATAGAATGAAAGTTTGCCATCACAGGCACGGAACGGGCGTCTATGTCAGTCCCGTGTGCAAGCGATGCAACAGCTTGATTCGTTCAGCCAAGGCTGGTTAGGGTGGCCATGCATAACGGAGGAAGCTATGATTTCCGCTACCTCATCCGCGCAATTGCCGCCATGCGCCGCCAGAGCTGGGAGGAAGCTAGAGCAGCTAGAGCGGAGCCTACGGAGGAGGAGGAGGCGTTCTTTGAGGAGCCCGAGGTCGAGAGCACGGAGGAGGGCGAGGAGAACTTCTTTGAGGAGCCCGAGGGTGAGCGCCAGGTGGATGAGGACCACAGCTCCGACATCACCTCAGAGGACGTGGAGACCGCGATGCAGAAGAAGAAGTGGCACGAGCTGCCTTTCACGGTTCTCTACAAGGGAGGTGAGAAGCTGCTTAGTTTCCGGATTGGCTGCTTGCAGTTCGTCGACTCAATGAACTTCTACAAGGCTTCGCTCGGCAACCTCATCGACGAGCTCCGCAAAAGCTCGCCTCAGGATCCTTCGCGGGTGTTCGTGCAAATGTCCAAGCTTCATCCCGAGCTTCAACCCTCAGCCTTGACTCAGCAAAGACGCAACAAGCTTCGCGAGTACTTCGCTCCGGAGCGCGCTGTTGAGAGCATCACGGACGAAGAGTACAAGCAGTGGACGTGGAAGCTTTTACTCCGCAAACTCCCCATGCCGTTCGAGAAGATGGTGGGGAGTGAGATCTGGAGCAAGCCTTCTGTGTGGGAGGTCGACGACTACCGCTCGAGCCTCCACCCCGAACCTCAGGACAAGCTCGAGAAGAAGGTGAAGGAGCTGCGGGAGACCTGCGAGGTTCTTGGCTTTGAAAGCTTTCGTCAAGTCCACAACGCCTATCTCTTCATGGATCTCTCGCTCAGCGACGTGATGGAACAATTTAGAACCTCCTTCCACTCCAGGTTCGGTCTTGACCCTCTCCAGAAGATCAGCTTGCCGGGGGCCGCGTATGAGGCCATGCTTCGCGGATGCCTTTCACATCGCAGCATTCAGCTGGTGACCGACTTCGAGATCTATCGCCAACTGAGAGATGGGATGATGGGAGGGCTGTCGTGCATCTTCAATCCTCAGAGGCGCGCCAACTCTCCAGAACTCGGCGACTACTACAACGCTTCGCTGCCAACGAGCTTCATAACCTCCATGGACGTGTCGAGCATGTGTCCGACGGTTATGTGTGAGCCCATGCCGGTCGACGGCGGTGTGAAGATCGATCTTCCTCCCGACCACGGCGAGCGCATGAAGTGGCTCAGCGAGACCTTGGACCGCATCTCCTTTGACAGCTGCGAGGTAACCGCCAGCTTCTGCTTTGTGGTGGACTACTCCTTCCCCTTTGAGCTTCACGACAAGCTCGATTGGGCCCCTCCCTGTCGCATGCAGGTTGCCCACGACCAGCTGTCGGACTACACGCGGGAGATCATGCAGAAAAACTCCCTGCAGTGCTCCCAGGTTGGCAAGCTAGTGCCGTATCTCGGCTACCACGTCAAGGAAGCGGTTGATGGGAAGCGGCTCGCTTTCATGTGCCGCGTGATGGGGGCCAAAATTGAAAAGCTTCACCACGCCACTCGCTTCACATGCGCCCCGTTCTTGAAGTCGTGGCTCGAGCAGTGCTATCAGACGAGGCTGGATCTCAAGGCCAAAGGCTTTTCCCAAGAAGCGGAAGTCATCAAGTTGGTGATGAACTCGATGTATGGGAAGTTGATTCAGCGCTGCGAGAACAACGTGACGACCAAGATTTGCACGGACGCCAAGAGCTGGATTAGATCCTCGAACAACCATCGCATGCAAGACTTAGACATCTTCTGCCAGGATGGGGAGTTCGTTGGCCTCATCCACAACGTCTTCAACAAGCCTGTGGTGCAAGAGAGCATGATCCAGATTGGCTTCAGGGTGCTGGAGTTGTCAAGACTGATGCTTGCCAAAATTCACTACCAAGGAGTGAAGCGCTTGTACCCCCAAGCGGTTCCGCTCTCCACGGACACGGACAGCATCACCTACTACATCGAAACCGACCGAGATCCCATGCACGCGTTTGCCGAGGCTAATGCGGCGGGCGACTTTCCTTGCTTCTTTGACCTGGCGAAGGACCTGGTGGGCAAGCCAGAGAACGCTTGGGCCCTGNNCCTGCCGGTCAGGATCGTGGAGCAGATCGGGCTCCGAGCGAAGCTTTACTCCACCCTGTTTGCCGCTCCTCACAAGGGCAAGGACTCTAAGCAGCGGGCGAAAGGTGTCATGAAGAAGGTGATGCCTGGCCACGGCGAGTTCAAGGAGACCTTGCTGGACGGCCTGGAGAGGAGCGTGGAGTTCGTGCAGATGAGCAGCCGGCAGTACATGATGGCTCTGGAGCGGAAGCGTAAAAAGGCCCTCAGCCCATTCAACGACAAGATCTACCAGCTCGACGAGTTTTCGGGGAGGCCACTTGGGCACTGGAGGAACAACCCGTTCTTGGCTCAGCTGGTGACGGCGATGGGAGGGCCCGACAGCTACGTGCTGAAGCTGATCCTGAGCTTCTTGAGGTATTCAGCCAGATCTCAGTGAGCAGATGTTTTGCGCGGACAGCGCGGTACAGTTTTGCGGCTGTAAAGCTGACTCCTTCACTTCGTCCTTGTACAGTAGTGCACAGCCAGCCGTTCGAAGGGGGAGTTCTGGATAGCAGACCGAAGCAGCTGTTACAGACCTGAACCGGGCCTTTGCCTGATGCAAAACCTCGCCTCAACGGGCAAGCGTGAGAGCACTGCGCATCTGAATGTTAACCCCTAGTCACGTCGTTCAACCTGCTGGTGCTACAGGTCCTACTGCGAGACGCGGCTCTCTTGCTGCCCTCGCGTTCCTCGCTTCTCGTGAGTCCAATCCG